ATCTTTTGAATTTCTGTGGAATTGGTTGTAATGCCTTCTTTTTCATTTCTGATTTTTAAAATTTGGGGCTTTCTTTTTCTCTTAGTCTGGCTAATGATTTGCCAATTTTGTTTATCTTTTCCAAAAAACCAACTTTTCATTTCAATGATCTTTTGAATTATTTTTTTATTTCAGTTTCATTAATTTTTGCTCTGATCTTTTTTATTTCTTTTTTTCTACTAATTTTGGGTTTGCTTTGCTCTTACTTTTCTAATTCTTTAAGTTGTATTGTTAAGGTGTTTATTTGAAGTTTTTGTATTTTTTTTTTAATATAGGCACTTACTGCTATAAACTTTCCTCTTAGTACTGCTTTCACTGTACCCATAGTTTTGGTATACTGTGTTTTTATTTTCATTTGTTTCAAGAATTTAAAAAATTTCCTCCTTATGAGTAATTTCTTCATTGACATACTGTTCATTCAGAAGCATATTGTTTAATTTCTATGTGCTGTATAGTTTCTAAAATTCCTCTCGTTATTGATTTCTAGCTTTAGTCCATTGTGGTCAGAGAAAGTACTTCACATAATTTTAATTTTAATTAAATAAATTAATTTATTAATTGATATAATTATAATTATAATTTTTTTGAAACTTGTTTTGTGGCCTAACATACGGTCTGTCTTTGAGAATTATCCATGTGCTGAGGAGAAAAAAATGTGCATTGTGCAGTCATTGAATGAAATGCTCTGTAAATATCTAGTAGATCCATTTGGTCTATAGTGCAGATTAAGTCCAATGTTTCTTTTTTGATGTTCTGTCTGGATGATCTATCCAATGCTGAAAGGGGTCTTGAAGTCTCCACCTATTATTGTATTGGAGTCTATCTCTTTAGCTCTAATAATACTTACTTTAAATATCTCAGTGCTTCAGTGTTGGGTGCATGTATATTCCCAGCTGTTATATCCTCTTTCTGAAGTGACCCCTCTGTTGTTATATATGACCTTCTTTGTCTCTTTCGTGGTTTTCTTCTTGAAATCAATTTTGTCTGATGTAAGTGTACTACTCCTGTTCTTTTTAGGTTTCTGTTGGCATGGACTATCTTTTGTTATCCTTTTATTTTCCATCTATGCGTGTCTTTATAGGTGAAGTGTGTTTCTTATACGTAACAAATAATTGGATTTTTGACTTTTATCTCTTCAACCACTCTATGTCTTTTGGTTGGAGAATTTAGTCCATTTACATTCAGTGTTATTATTGACAAATAAGGACTTACTCCTGCCATTTTGTTATTTGTTTTCTGGTTGTTTTGTGGTCTTCTCTTTCTTCTTTCCTTCCT